TTTGCTTTAGTCCTGTTGGTCCTCGTCTCTCCTCCGTGGAAGTACTATCAAGTAAATCAGAAGATAATCGGCACAATATCCGGCTGCCTAAGCTCAATCAAATCACTGTTCGTTACTAAACTTGCTCGACCGACGTTTTATTTCGTTTTCAAATTTTCTTATTGTTTGCGGTATGTATTTTGTGGATGGTGGCTGTTGCCACTGATCGCCTGGTTCAGAAGAAGCGTCGTCGATCCGCTGTGGCAGGGCTGCACGTCGTGCTGTGTACTGCTGAAGTACTATGCGTGCGGTGGATGGATTCCGTCCGTGAAACACAGACTCTTCTTTCTGTACACCGGCTTTGTTTCGTTTGTTAATTACCGGATTGCCTGTCCGGTAGTCGCTTTGTGCTGCTCTGTCAAAATCTGGCTGGTTTACATTATTACACTTCGGTGGCTGATCGATCTGGTCCATTTGTGCTTGGAATCGCTAAAAGCCGCCTATCGAAAGCGTTGCTTACCCCGCCTCCATCAGTGCTCAGCGGCTGTCATTAGCGTCTGGTGGACAGTGTACTACGTGTGCTCCGGAATGTGGCTGGTGACCGTTGTCAGGCGCTGCCAACAGCTCTCGCGCGCGTATTCGACTCACGTTGTGACTGCGTTGTTGCGTGCTGCCAAATACACGTTCTACGGCATTTGGTTCGTTGATCTGTGCATGTACATAAATGCGTCCATTTTGTCGTTGGTGTCGCGCATGCATCAACAATTGCTGATGCCCCTGTCGTTGGCCGTCGAGGCACATCTGTACTCGCTGGGACACCGCACTGTCATCTTGTCCAAAACGACGCTGCTGCAGCTGAAAGTGTTTTTCTTCTACCGCCTTCTTTTACCCGGATTCTACTCCACCATACTTAGCATCTTCCTTATTCTTCAGGCGATCTACGCTAGCGTGCTCGCGCCGTTGTCGCTGATGATTTTTGATGCAGTCAAACGCTTCTGGCTTTCTTCCGGCCGAGATGCGATGCAGAAAGTAGTCGCTGTTTTGCCGGAGCGATCGTTCTTCGTTGGTGAGTTGTTTTTTGTCTGATTTCGTTGATGAGGATTTGATAAAGAGGAGATTATTAAATCCGATGATTTTTTTCGAGTAATAAGATGCGTAAAATATCATGCCATGCCTGACTCATTGTAGGTCATAAGAACTGATTTCATTTTTATTTCGTTAATATTATGCTGTTTGCAAAAACAATTAAGACTAGGTTAAATCACTTCGCAAATGGAACCTTTTTTTGTGGCGAAACGGCAGCTTTGCGTTTCGAAAAACGGGCAAAAGTACTCCTTCTGTTTTACTGCTCAACAGCATAGCTGAGAACAGACTAATAAAAAAAACATCTTCCAGAAAGATATCAAGGGAAGAATACTACGCACCGTTTTCAGGCATAACGGCGTGACTCAATAAGTCTTCAGATAAATTGAAATAACAGTTAGACAGCATGGAAATAACTTGCAATATACATAATAAATGGTATATATTTAAAACAGACCTATAAATCAATAAACGACAATGAAAGAATATAAACCAAATATTGAAAAAAAAAACTTACATTGTTTATCCGTCGTAAGCGAAATATGATAGAATTTTGGAAAGCATGCTTGAAGATTGTCTAAGTGAACGACAAAGTGTTGACTGCTACATAGAAGATTCATCCGTGCGAACGAGAACATGTGAGAATTGAAAATAAGTGAGATTTCTGAAGAATATGAAGCCATGACAGTCTTCTCCCAAGACTAGGAACTAAGTACGGATACGAAGATCCTATGCACCCAGCTGATAAAATTGTACCATTTGTCAAACAGCGCAAAACCGTGACTCATATAGTTTTTTGTCATCAGATGCTCGCGAGTGGATTATGCAACGAAGCGAACAATAACCTTACAAGGTTGGTCTACTGGCATTTGGCCAGATGATGTAATGATACTGAAGTGATTGCGAAAACATCAGAAGTTGAAGACCTGGTCGAAGAGGAAGTAGGCCTTTCCAATGCTGAAAGAAAGATCTGCTTGCCAAGTAAATATCATATTAGTGGCCATAGTGCAACTCCAGCGTATATCATCGTTATGACCTGCTCAGCCGACGATGAATCTTCTCTGATTCTAGTGGAAGTCTGCAGTCTGGAGAGAAAATTTACTGAAATATGAAAATTTGTCGAAGACCTGAAGGTGGAAAATGAAAATTTTTAGAGTTTAAGGGTAGGAGTAATTCTGAC